GAGCCCAGGTAGATCTGCCCCTAACTCAAAAGAAGGCTGAGGTGCTCAGCACAAAGCCCATGGAGCCAGTGGGAACACCTGCGTTTTAAATCTGATCCAATCCTGCATCTTCCCCTGCTCATCTTTAAGTCAAGAGGGGCTGAAATAAGGGAGTCAAGCCCAGGGCATCTGTATGATGGGAGCTCTGGAATGAAATAGCCCAGGTCAGGCAAAAGCTGCTATGAAAATAGCAATGGGATGCTAAAGGTGCCTGAGCTCGCACAGCCTCAGCTTCTTGGCGCTGACAGCCCCATCAGGGCAACAAGAAGGGAAAAACCCTAAGAACCTGAAACCCCCTGAGCCACAGCAAGCCCCATAAACCCAGCACTGGTGTTTGGGCTGGAACAAAGCTCCTGCCCCATCCCATTTGCCCCCAGGAGCAGGCAGAGCGAGCGATGGGACATGAGGCCATACAAGACACAATGATTTTCCATTAGTAGCTGGGGCCAGTGGTGTGACCTTAGCCTGGTTTGGGACCATTCTCTGAACTAACCCCATGGAGTCTGTGAGCTGTGCAAGGAAACGCCGGGTACGGCCAGAGCGTGTGTGCGAGTCGGTGTGTGTAGTTACTAATCACATACTCACTGTCTCCTGCAGTTAACGCTCCCAAGTCTCTGTGTTTGGCATTAACCTGATCTCTGGCAGCTCTTTGCTCTGACCGTGCTCGTTCTGGTGCAGGGCCTGAGGCTATGGACCTGGCTTGGCTTTACGAGCTCAGCCCATGGCCTCGTAAGCACTGGCTGCTAACTCTGCGTTGGGGCATGACCTGGGCAGGGGCTGCTCCAGCCTCCTGGTCCAGGATCAGAGGAGAATCAAACCTGTGTGAGCAGGCATGAGGATGCTTCACATCCTGCTCTGCAGCCTGGTCCGAAGGAGAGGTCCCGTCCCTCCCATTTCACATCACTTTGATGTGAAGCCAGCCCCGATGCAAAGATTGTGTTGGAGTACCTGGGCCATGGCCACCGGTTACATGAGAAATCGCCTCTGGGGGGATGTGCCATGGGCTTGTCATGACCACAGGGCGTCCAGCCCCACCACCACGGGCACTGGGGGCACTGCGACCACACACCCCAATAAGCACAAGCTGGGGTGTCCGGGCCCCACTCCCATTGGTGCAGCCCCACGTCTCGGAGCTGTGCCTCAGCGCCGCTGTCCTTGCAGGACCTCGGAGCACTGAAGATCCCGGAGCAGTACCGCATGGTCATCTGGCGAGGGCTGCAGGAGCTCAAGCAGAGCCACGACTACGGCGCGCAGCAGCTCCTGCGCTCCAGCAGCAACGCCTCCACCATCTCCATCGGCAGCTCGGGGGAGCTGCAGCGGCAGCGGGTGATGGAGGCCGTGCACTTCCGTGTGCGCCACACCATCACCATCCCCAACCGCGGCGCTGCCGACGACTGGGCAGACTTCGGCTTCGACCTCCCCGACTGCAAATCCCGCAAACAGTCCATAAAGGAGGAATTCACGGAGGGGGAGATCAACTGAGGGGCTCCCGTGAGCCAGAGACCCGGGGCGGGGGGGATGAACCCCGCTGTGAAAGACATTTTCAGCCTTGGGTGGCTGGAGCAGTGTGACGGTGGTGTCTGGAGGGGGACTGCAGCCCTGTGCCACAGCACGGCCCCAGGCGGTGCTGGCTTCGGGGGACGTGATGAGGAGGGCGGCTGACGCCGTCGCAGGATGGAGCACGGAGAGCAGGCACCGTGGCTCTTACCGGAGCAGCCCCACGGTGGTGGATGCGGCGTTGCTGTCCTCTTTGGAAGACCGGTCTTTGGCACCGCCTGCCCCCGTCCTGTGCTCTCCATGGTGTCCAGAACTGAGAGGCTGTCACTGCTGTACACGGACTCAGCCCTGCCCCGTCCCGTGCTCTGCACACTCGCCAGCGGGACGCACCCGCTCTGCTTCCCCGACGGACTGCCAGGAAGTCCCCATCCCCTTCAGTTCTTGTAGAGCCAAACCTGTTTGTTCCCCCACGTGTTCATGTACTTAACTATTGGTGTATATAAACAGAAGCGATTGTACATACGTATCCTCATCGTGCTCTAAGGAGAAAAGATTTATTTTCATGTAAGCTATAAAAATTGATACTTACTCCTGAGACACTCGAGCGTCAAGTAAATTAATTCCATGTTCTAGCATGTAAACATGCAGAAGATTGTGTCTCCGGCCTCATCTATTCCACAGTCAGTGTTCCCCCTTTCCCTCCTTCCTTCCCTGCCCATTTCAACAGGCAATGTCCCACAGCAGGCACAGGAGCTGCTGCATCTGCCCCCTGAGGTCCCTCAACATTCCAGGTGGCCTGAGGGAATCCATGCGGGAACAACGCTGCCCAGCACATCCCCACTGCAGCATCCCCTCCCTGTGCTGCCTTGGTGATGGAGGCCACCAGCAGGCAGAGCTCCAGCTCCATCCCATCTGCCCCGTGCCTGGGAAGGAGCTGGGAGACCCTTCACAAAGCCCTGGATCCTCCAATCTGTAAAGGGACAGAGCTCAAGTTCCACTTACGGCATTCCGGGCTCACCTCGGATGCGTCTTCCCTCCCCATGGGGAAGCTCCATCCACACACGAAGGGAGGATCATGAGGAAAACCAGCAGGAACCTGTGTCCTGTGGGAACAGCCGATTAAAGCACTTGAATGCTTTAAGGGGTTTGAGACAATCACTCGTGGTCCCAGTGTTAACCGAGGCTTCTCCCAGCAGCATCCCACCACACACTCCCACCACGGCAGGAAGGGCACCTCTGGAAAACGAGCTCCTCTTGGAGCTGTGGTTTCCCTCTTTGTCTGTTTGGTGACACAATAAAAGCACACGTGGGAATTACAACACCTGGAAATCAAAGTCTTGCTTCTATGATAAGGAAAGGGTGCTCCTAAACCAGTGTAAACCTCAAAGGGCCTCAACCTGCTTTGCTTCATCAAACAACCACAAAGCTGGGAGCTGCAGCAATCTTCATCCTTAAGACACAGCTTTGAGTTTGAAGAATTGCACCGCTAAAAGCAATTTCCAGGAGCGAATTGGCTTTAGTTATAGATGTCACCCCTCTTTCTAGTTCTAGGAATATGTATTCCATCTGTAGGAGCTGGAAACTGATTGAACTGCAGGATCTCGAGAGCCAGAAGTGTCATTTACAAACTAACACTCGAGGCAAGAACCTGATTTTAATACAATAGAAACAGCTTTTGAAAGCTTTTGGGAAGTGGTGTGTGAGGAACAGCCACAACATCTACCTTGGAGGTTATTAGAGACACAAGCAGACAGCTTCCAGCACGTAGCTGCAATGAGGCAGATGGTTCCACATCCTCCCAGGGGCATTCTGTTCCTTGCATATCAAGGCGTTACCACACATTAGAATACTGCACACTGCACCTTCTCTAACAGCAGCAGCTGCAATTACCTTCATTAAAACTTTGCATTTCCATTTAAAATCCAGCAGCTTCCAGGTTTACGGTTGGTTTAAATTAGTCGGGAAACCCAGAGCGTGTCAGCTTGGCACAATGCTCAGTACATTCACATCTTTAACTGGGCTGAGATCAATGGGAACGTGCCAGGGAAATATCATAGAACCATGGAAATATCATAGAACCATGGAATGGTTTGGGTTGAAGGGACCTTAAAGCTCACCCAGCTCCAACCCCTGCCATGGGCAGGGACACCTTCCACCAGAGCAGCTTGCTCCAAGCTCCTGTGTCCAACCTGGCCTTGAGCACTGCTGCTGCTGCTCAGAGAGAACCTTCTCTAAACGGGCCAAGTTCTGTAACTCCCCAAAGAAGCCATTAATAATGGTGGGGAACTGAGAGAGTTCAGAAACCAAGACCCCATCTACAACCTCCTGAGAAACTCAGCTTCTGTTCCACTAGGCAGCTCCTTCCACTGGCCCATGATGGAACAGTTGTCACGGCTTCCGTGGCTCTTACACCCTCACTCTTCCCAGCAGCAGTATAAAGTGCACAGGTCCACCATAAACAATCACAAGACTGAATCCTACCTGCACGCCAGTGAAAACAGCGTCTGGTGAACAGCAAACTGACAACACCCATGCTGCGCACAGCAGCACTGTAAAGAATTCCACCTGGAAGAAGCAAAACTGGGTGTTAAGGGCTCCACATTTAAACCCCCCAGTGAACAGACACCTCTGAACTGCACTGAGATTGATAAAAAGGGTCCCCATAGAAACTAATACTAAAAGCAAACACGAAAATGCAACAAAGACTGGCAAAGAAAATGCCACGGACTCGAGCTCTACGTACACGTTCACATTCAGCTGAGTGCTACCAAAACCTCAGCTGAGGTCCAGCCTCACGGAGGCTATGAGTGCAGCCCCTCTTTGTCCAGCCTGCTTTGAAGAGGCAGTGTCAAACCTCACAGAGAAGGTGGGAAGCACCAAGTGGCGACCAGTGGAGGGCATCGAGTCTTCCCTGAGGGTGTCCATGCTCATGGGGCAGCTGTCAGCAAGGTGATGGTGGGGAACCAGCAGCTTATGATGGGAAGGCAGAGAGGGAACCATGCTTTACTGGTGCTGGTGAGGATGAAGGACGGTCAGGCAAGCAGCACGGGCGCATCGAGCTGGGTTCAGCAACATCAGGACCTGCGTAGTGGGGCGAGACAAGAGGGTTTGGGATGAGGCTCTGTGATCCCCACCGAGAGGTGCCACGGTCCCAGCACTCACCGGAGCAGCGTGAAGCTGGCAGCGGTTGCCATAGCAGCGGCCGGAGGAGAGATGCTCAAGGATGCGGTAGCGGTGCAGCCGCAGGGATGAGCAGTTCGGAGCCTCCATCACCACAGCCCCGTGCCCTGGCCCTGCTGCTTCACCGCCAGCCCTGAGACCTCACCATGCGGCCGGGCAGCGTCCTCTCCTCCCGCCCATGGCGCGGCCCCGGAAGCGGAAGGCGCGGCCCCGCCGCCGTTACCAGGCAGCACCGGGGCGGGAGGCAGCCGCCGCGGCGGTGCCGGCACCACAGAGCACCCGGGCCCCTCGGGATGGAGGCGGCTGCAGCCCCCGAGGGAGCAGTGAGGGGCAGCGGGGGCTGGCGGGAGCCGGCTGAGCCCAGCACCGAGCAGGAGCTCCGTGAGGAGCTGCGGAGGGCAAGGGATGACTACAACATGGCCACAGGTACCGGGCAGGCATCCAGAGCACACCCTCACCCTCCCTTCATCCTCACACCACTCTGCTCTGACTGAGAGCACGCCCCAGATCAGGCTCTCACGAGCACAAAGCTGACTTGAAGGCCACTTGCATTAAAACCACTCAGTTTCCCCCTCCTTACACAATACAACCCAGCCAAAGAGCATCCCAAGCACCATCCTGGGGCATCCAGCAGCACTTCTGCATGGTGGCAGACCTATTACCAGCTCTAGTAGTTCCCAGAGCAGCACACAATAAGGTTAGTTTAATATATATTGAAGTACTGCAGAATACATAACCAGCATCACTGCGGCTGCAGCATTAACTTCACCCTTTCCACACTCAGACGGTCACAGCTGCAGCTCCGTGTGTGCTTACCTGAAGGAAGGAGCTGTGCAGCTACAGGCAGGGGTTCGGTTTGTTTAAGAGTCCTTCTCCAACCCTACAGGCACCATCTCCTCCTTGCAAAGACAACTGGATATCAAAGAGTCCCAGCTCCGGAGAACCAGATCTGAAACCGAAATGCTCCAAAAGCAGCTCAGAAAGCAAGAAAGCCACTTACAAGACATGTCTGCCAAGGTACCACCTGAGGGCAAGGTGTCCATCCTTGGGGATTCAGGCCTCAGGCTGCAGCTCGCCTCCTCATAGACAGGAGGTGCACCCGTGAGCTGTGACAGTGAAGGGTAAAATAACTTCTTCTTCAGTTTTGCAGTCTCAGAGAACAGAAATGTGAAGAAATGATGGTGACAATGGAGGAGGAGAACCGCAGCCTCCGACAGGTAAACTCAGTGCAAAGCTGCTATAGGGAATGCTTGTATTAGCTGCTTAGTTGTGCTTGTTTCAGGCTCGGGGGAGTTTCCCACTTAAAACCCCTACTCAGTCCAGAAGTAACAGCAGCCACCAGTGCCAACAAGGCTGTCAGTCTGCAGACTCTGCCCAGGAGACAGAAGCAGCGTTTGGACCAGACACAGGGAAGATGCGGCCAGGCCTGCTTGTTCCTTCCTCACAATCCGGGCTTGGTTTCTGGATCTCTTCAGGTCCTCTCAGAACAAGAATCCAGGCTGGCCGCGCAGCACAAGCTCATCGGTGAGCTACAGGAGACCATCGGGCAGCTGCAGACAGAGGCGCGCTCCCACCGGTACCACATCCGCACGCAGCAGCGGCAGCAGGAGGCAGCCCAAAGGGAGGTTAAGGCACTGCAGCAGAAGGAGCTGCAAACTCGCGTGGCGCTGGAGCTCATCACCAGCAAGGTAACGCGGCCTCGGTGTCAGCATCCTCCCTCCCTCCCTCCCTCCTGGGGACGCTCCAACCCAGGAGCAAAGAACACGAGAGCACAGAGGCATTACTCTTGGGCAGCAGCACAGCAGGAGATGCACCAGGGCACTGCAGTCCTGGCTGCCCTCCACTGCCACAGGGCCACGGGGCCAGAGGAGCAGGGAACTCATCCATTTCCTTCCCAGCTTTGTAGCATGCAACTCCTACATCACTTACAAAGCAAACAGGCCTCAAATACCAGAAGCCCTTGAGAAACTCGTGTTCAGAACAATTACATCATCAGGTTTCTAATAGCCTTCTAGATTCAAAGTAACAGGTATCACCTTGAAGCCATTTCAGGGAGGCACAGGGTGGCAAGCACAGAGCCCAATACCTGCGTAAGGAACTCAGTCCACCCCAAAACACATCATTATCACAGTACTTGCAGCAAAGCCCAGTCAAACCACGTATAATTTCACACAAACAGGCCTTTCATTTCACCCTTCAGTAGCACGGCACCCAAGTCTAACAGCGTAGTCTCTGTAAATCCCTGTGAATACCAAAGAACTGTATATACAAACTAAGCCCATCTATTCTCATCTTTCATCAACAGTTTGAAAAGTATCGAAGCAAAATAATCCAGGCCACATTCAGCACAGCAGGCATCAAGCCTCCGCAGGCAGAGACCACGGATGAGGAGGTGCTGGAGGCAATGCAGGTACGTGGTTCACGTGAACTCTGCTTCCAGCAAGGGCCTGACGAGGTAAGAGATCACTGCAGTGCTGATCCCCACCCAGTGCATCCCCACCTCTTTACACAGCCCTCATTTGCAGAAAATCATTAACGAACGGATCGAGTTCCATCAGATGCTCAAACAGAAAGGCATCAGAGTCCCACCGCTCTACGGCACCGACACCGCTGCATCACCTACTAGTAGGGGAAGGAGAAGGAGTAGCACAAGGCAGCAGCATGTCACCCCTGAAAAGTAGCCCTGATGGCTGAGCAGAACACATCACCAATGTCAGGCTCCTGTTCCCTGGGTCTGAGGTCGACGTACTAATGAATTAAACCCATCCTCCTGAAACCAAGTCCTGCAGGAATCTCTCATTCAGTTGTTTCAACCAACTCACAGCACAAACCACTGTAAAACACTGGTGTGTAGAAACACTCAGCTTCACAGGGAAGCTCAAAGCACTACTAAGGTCTGCCTGGCTACAGCTAGAAAGCACTGAGTTCTCATTTTTGCAGTGTTCAATAGCTGCTTGGGCAAGGTTGTACGGTTACATGACTGGAAAACTCACCAGTGCCAAAACCCATCAGTGCCCAAACACATGACAGTGACATGACTGTAAGAACCGTTTTATTTTCCCATTCATAAGCGAGTCCCAACACATGGATGTATTTGACACAGTATCTCCAAGTTCAGTTAGAGCTCTGCAGCCTCACTTTCAACAGCACAAAACTCCATCTCTAGGTCACCATTGCTTATGAAGAGGTTTGCACTCATAAGGTGGTAGCCTGGATGTAGCTGCCACCCACTCCAACCACTCCAACTACCGGTGCACCAACACTCTTCACGTGGAAGTGTGAAAGCAAGCACTCTGGCCATGAGTGCTTGTACTCTGGGGAGACAAAAAGCTTTAGTAGCGTCAACACTAAGCAGCATCAGTCCTCTGAGTGGAAATGAACTTCACGAGCATGAATGAACTTGGTGCTCCATCAACAGTAACTCAATGGGTACGCAACAGGGTCACTACAACTGGTGCTTCCACAAGGATGGGCGATGGCTCTGCAGTGCACTGAGACACAAACCCCTGCACTCAATTCAACTGACTTGGCTTAGAAATGGAAGCTGTGTTAATGTCTGAACACAGAAACCATCCTTTAAAACTCACTCCTCGAGTTCTGACAGCAATTACATCGTCACAATTACTCCAGATAGAAAATCACGCTGAATGAGATGTCAGCAAAGCCATTTGGCATCCCATCCTCGGTAGGGGCATGCAGCACGTGGCTGTTTCAACGCTGTCACCAACTGATTTCTCAGTTTAGCTGCCAAAATAATAATCCAGCTGAAACACACCAGGAAGAAGCAGGGATCCAGCAGAAAAACACGACTGCATTCACATTACAGATGCTAAGACACAATGGTTTTCTCTACAAGTGAACATGTTCTGACTTCCAGCTTCTTCTCTGCCTTTCAGTTCTCCCTACTCAGACAGAACGCTGATGGCTTTCTATTAAGGCTGAAGGAACACAACCCTGCTTGCCACAGCCTATCAAACGTGACAGTAGCAGGCGGGATGCACTGCATCTTGTCCTTACAAACCCGAACAACCTCACTGCATACAAGCTGCGTTGTTGGCATATGGCAAAAAAGAAAGGAAATGGAATCATTCTGTGAGCTCTGATAGCTGCTAACGTATTACAGTGAGGAGAGAGGACACTGTGCTTAGGTCAGTTTTTGAAGGATAAAGTACTTTCAAGTTTCCATCTGTGTCCACCACTCGAACCTGCTCCACAAGCATCGGCTGAGCGTTCTGGCTGGGGTTCAAAGCTGCTGGTCCACAAAGAGCATCAGATTCGTTATCCGAGCCTGAGTCTTCCTTGTTTTCCAAGGTAGATCTGTTCAGTTCTGCAATTTTCTGTTAAAAGCAAAACACAGAAAACAAGATTAATTCTGTGGCTGAGAGCAATTCCAGGCTGCTTCCAACAGAAGTTGTTGGCAGCAGCTGAAGCCGTACGAGCACTAAGAAGGGAAGGTGTTCAAAGACAAACCCTACATTTCTAATTGTGGTAACACAATGTTATTTACCTGGGTGAGTTCTGAGGTCTGCCAGGGAATCAGGATATAAGAATATGAAAACCCTTTGCAATGTGGAGATGGAAGGGTGCAAGCATGGAAGCAAGGATGGGAAAGCAAGTGAAGGAGAGGGAAGAATACTACTACTAAAGTAAAAATCAGCTGCTGTGTTCTCCTCAATGCATGTGGGCACTACGCATCCTGTCGAGAACAGATGTGATTGTTTTCCTGAGCTACTTACCAGAATTAGTGTGTCCATGACATCTTTGCATATCTGTAAGCTGGTATCACTTGTCACCTCCAGAAAGAGATCCCGGGTGTCCTTCCTGATCTGGAAGGATTTCACAGGTAAAGCCAGTGAGATGGGAGCGCACTCGCCCACAGTCACTTGGCAACACTTCATGCACAAACTGAAAGAAGATGTTCATTCAACGCAGCTCAGGCAAAGTGCTGCCTTGCTTTACAAGTCAAACACCATACTCTTGCCCTTCAATAAAGCCATCCCTGCTTAGAACAGAGCTCTGGCCAGAGGCTGCCACACTGGCAAAGGTGGAAATGGCACTTCCACATCCAGCTCAAGCTGACCACCTAGCAGGCAAGACCCAGGTTTGGAGATTTGTATTTGGAATGTAATCACAACAGGCACAGATTTGGGCATATCTCTGAATGCAGAGTTCAATCTCAGTGGAAAAAAAAACCCTCACTTTAATTCTGATCAACACATTTCCACTAACAGATTACCTTTGTCTTCTCGCTGTTGGTTATGGGTGGGAAAGAAATCACGATGCCTTCAGCATCCACCAGACAGGGGTAGTTGTCTTTGCCATCCAGTAACTGGAGATACCTGCCAGGAAAAGGAAAGCGGCAAAGAGTGGGTAATTGAACCAGCAGCAGGATGCAGTGGCACAAGAGTGTGACAACAGTGAATTAGGGTCTTCCTGGTCCACCATGGAGCAAAAGGAGTAAGAACATGGAAATTCAGTAAAGGTGTATCACGATGATACAGCTGAGGGAAGCCACAGGATGTCATGCACTGACCTATGCAATCCAGACACATTCTGGCGCTTCTTCTGCTTCCTCTGCTCCTCAGCTTCTAACTGCAGCTGGCGGAGAAGATCCTTTGCCTTGATCTCCTTTCGACCCAGAGGTGTTACCTACACCGTACAGAGCAAATACCTGAATTTAAGAGCTGCTCAGTCACAGGGGTTATTCAAACTCCTGTAAGCAAGACAATAACTGAGTTTAAACCTTTGTGTGAGCTACAACACCCACTGGAAAACCATTTGCTAGCACTAATTCCATTCTGTACAGTTCCAGAAGACAAAAGGGAACCAAGCGGAAAGGCCCAGGGATGCTATGGGCCCTACCTTCAGCATGTCAGGAGGCTGAACATCATACATCAGAGGAGCTTTGATCAGCTGCAGGTCATGGGTGGCAATAGTGGCTACTGTCCGCTTTTCACAGATGTCTTCATGCAGTTTGGTCTGAAACAGAAAGAAACCTATCAAAGCAGATCCAAAACATCCACATGATTTACTCCTCAGAATTACTCTTCACAGATTCTTCTGTATTTAACATTTGTAGCTACTCAAGTAACTCTTTTGCATTAAATAGAGCCTTTCTGCAAACTAATTTTACCTGAATTGCAATTGAAATGTAAAGACAGCGAGCATAACCCATGGCATCTCTCAACTAGGAAACAAATGGTTTTAAATCAGAATACCATCACAGAGTCTTGTAATCTGAAAGCACCTAACCCCTGCCACCTAATGGCTGGGCAGGCCATAAATCAGGGGTGACAGGCTGTGGTTATCATACCTGTTGGTTTCAGCACAGATTAGGGAACCTGGAGCCAAACCAAGGTACTTCTAATGTGGATTGGGTTCACTAATAGCTCTCAACAGGTTCCACAGCACCAACAAGCTGCTGCGACAGAGCAAACGCACTCAGGTGTGCGCTCATCTCCCTCTCATAGTAACACCTGAGCTCCTGTTGGGCTCCTCAGGAAAACCAGTTCTGCTCGTTCCAGAGGGACTGGGCAGCAGCTGCTGCACCCTCCCCAGCTCCTGGGTGAACAGCTCTCTCTGAGCTCACCTAACACAAGACCGCAGCACTGACCTGTGCGGACAGGAACCTCTTCAGAGCATTTCCTGGCTTCAAGTTCACTCCCCTAAGCACGCAGCACACGATGAAGGGTCGAACATCCTTGATACCCGGGCTCACTTTGACCACCAAGGGCGCCGGGTTTTCAGAGACGTGAAGAACCTTCACCAGCAGCTTGCTCGCCTCTTCCACCTCGTCCTGCTCCCCATCCCCACTATCCTTCTTCTGCTGCTTCTCCCTCTTCTTCTTCCTGGCCTCCTCCCTGGTGCTCTCAGCCTTTCCCTTCCCGCGGCCCCCAGCCCGCAGGTAGTCCAGGATGGCTTTTGTCTGGCAGCCATTGACCATCTTCTCCAGCCGCTTGTCCTTCAGCTGGTTCCCCCTGAAGTTGGCTTCCTTGAGGCGGGGGCAGTCGGCCAGGGCAGAGGGCAGCTCCCGCAGGTGGTTGTTGGCCACGTCCAGACTCTGGAAGAGACAGAGACTGGGGGGTCAGTGATGGGGACCCAGGTGGGCTCTGTAGCAGACAGCGATGAAGGGGTCAGTGATGGGGACTCAGGTGGGCTCTGTAGCAGCCAGCAATGCGGGGCAGTGATGGGGATCCAGGTGGGCTCTGTAGCAGCCAGCAATGGGGGGGCAGTGATGGGGACCTGGGTGGGCTCTGTAAGAGACAGAGATGGGGGGGGGGCAGTGATGGGGACCCGGGTGGGCTCTGTAGCAGCCAGCAATGGGGGGGCAGTGACGGGGACCCGGGTGGGCTCTGTAGCAGCCAGCAATAGGGGGGCAGTGACGGGGACCCGGGTGGGCTCTGTAGCAGCCAGCAATGGGGGGGCAGTGATGGGGACCCGGGTACCCCTCGCACCTTCAGTGCCGGCAGGGCGGCGATGTCAGCGCCCAGCTCCTCCACCTCGTTGTCCGCAGCCTCCAGGCGGCTCAGCAGCGGGAAGGGCCCTCCCGGGGCGGCGGCGGCGGGGGGGGGCAGGAGCCCTCCGGGCAGCGCCCGCAGCCGGTTCCCGGAGAGCAGCAGCGCCTGCAGCTGCGGCGCGGCGCGGGCCAGCCCCGGGCCCAGCTCCCGCAGCCGGTTCCCGCTCAGGTTGAGGCTGCGCAGCTGCGGGAAGGCCGGGGCTGCCCCGGGGGGCTCCGCGTCCGCCGCCCCGCCCAGCGCCGCGGGCAGCGCCTCCAGGCCGT